CCTGCAATAAAACCTGCAATCTGGATGCATTTTTATTGCATCCTTAGGTTGCTTTTACAAGTGGAAGATGTTTATTAGGTCTGTCGAGTGCGCAGGCAAAAGACAAGCATGCAAACATTCATACAGTGCCGTTCAGAGGGTTTATTCAACACGCTGGTGATGAGTAACGCAGGAGTGAAAGGAGATGAAGAGACGCAGACTAAAAGAAGGCCTTGGTGACTGCAAGCCTAACATTTCTCCATTGACTCTCAATCTTAAGCTCATTCACGGCGCTTTTATATTCAAGGCTCTACACCGGTATGAGCAGCGCCACATGTCGTTAACTACCATTTTATTCACTCTGGCTTTCACGGCTGTGTCAAAGTGAGCACAAAGGACTAATAATCACACTGAAGGCTCTGTTGTCTCTGCTCCTGCGTGCCCCACACTACAACTTCCACAGCCCCCACTCAACTTTCACGCAGATGAATCAGTCAGTTGGTCACAAATGAGCTATAAATTCTCCCCACTTAAACAAGCATTCTCTGCCTCCATTTTTCTACCCTCTCAATTAATGGGAGACTCATAAGTTGAAGGAGGGCCTTTGTTGGTGTTGGAGAGTCCATACATCACCTAAACTAGAGCACCCACCCCTCCTTTTTCCTCCCTCCTGCTTGTGCACGCTCCCGACAGTCCCCATCTGCTCCCAATCATGGGTGCAGCCAGCGGTCAGGCACGTGCTAACATACTTGTACACATAAACACACACGAAGCGGCCACGCAAGCCCCATGCAAACACACACTGAAACTGAACTCAAACGTTTAGTTATGAACGTGCTCCTCTGACACAAGGCTCTCAAAATTTGATCAGTAAAAACAAAAGCGTTCCTGCTTGCACACACATTTGTCTCTTAAGTGTCTGCACCCGATGGATACGGTGCCTTCTTTACCCACGGTCGTCATCTTAAATATCACAAGTTTAAAGTCTGAACCTAAATAAAAGCCTAGTATTTCTTGGAGGATTGTGCATCCCTCGCTCCTTTTCATGCCAGAGTTTTAAACTAAAATCATTTATGTTGAGAAGGAATAGAATTGCAGTAGTCACTCGTTTAAAGTGGGGGTTACGTTACAGAGACCCCTGCAATAAGTGAAAAACCGTAAAGTAGTAATGTTTATTTTAGTATGTATATATATATATATATATATATATATATATATATATATATATATATATATATAAACTCTTAAACCTACATAATTTTAACAACATATGTATATGCACTGTACAGTAGCTACAGCAACATTTTATAAGAGTACTCATCACCAGCTCTGCAGACCAGCAGCTCGGTTCCGTTCAACTACCCTGCAGCATGATGAAGCTCACCACCCTATCCAGGTTGATATTAGGGGTTGAACAACTACATAATTTTTAAACTCGACATTAACATAATAAAGCTTGAGTAGAATTTGAGTAATTGATGACATCATAGGATCTAAAGATACAAAAATAAATAAAACCGCAAAAAAGGTCATGGTTTACAAAAAAAGACCAACAAAACATTGGGAGCGTATATTATGCTCCTACCATTTATCATACAGCAAATAAGTCACAGGAAAAACTAAACTATTAGTTTTTATTATTAAGCTGCAAAAGTGAAGAAACGTGGCACATCAAAAACGAAACTTAAAATGAGTGGGGGGGTCGACCACCCCACACCACCGCCAGCTGTGGTGTGCATTAAGTTTAGTTTTAGAGATTAATATGTTTATAGGGTTTTTATAGGTTTAGAGTTTAATATTTTTTGCTTTTAGTTTGTGAAACAAGGTCAGAGGAAGCTGGTTCTGGTTCTGTCAATTGGACCCGGTGTTACACCATATTCTGTGACCTGCAACAGTGCATGCAACACTGCCCCCTATGGTCACAATATACGGTGGTCACAAAATATGGTGTAACACCGGTTCGCAACGCGCTCCAAACAGTCAGGAAGTTGATTCATTTTCTGTTTCCTTACAGTAGTTGAACCAGAAGATTAATCTTTAGTGAAATATTTCCAGACTATTGATGCATTTCTACCTGTTTGCCAAGACTGGGCCTGCTCTGCTCCATCCGTCTGCTTGGAGGAATCCATTTTGTAACTTGCGCCCGGTGCAGATCACGTGACACGTGACGCAATGACATAACGGTGACGTAATGACGTTACCACGAATACTCGACGTGAAATTAAAAACCTCGATAGGTGTCCTAGGAATCGATGTGTAGATTACTCGAGTAGTCTGTTAAAGCCCTAGCATGTGCTGCTGCTCCAGGAAGGACACTCTGTGTGCAAGGCTGCCTAGGATTAGTCCACCGGGCCACTCCGGACTAGCACCACATAACCAGAACCAGGCCGAACCTCGCCGCGGTCTGTTCCCTGCAGCCCCCAGGATCCGGGTCTCACACTGAGTCCGGATCAACTGCAGCCCAGGTACTCACCAGTGAAGATATAACTTGAAGGATGAGTTCAGCTTCAGGATTATTTGTGACTTTCCTGACAGTTCTGTGAGCTTAATGGATGGCGTAGATTTGCAAAAAACTTTCCCTCCATTTTGGCAGAAAGCAGCGGTTGGGAGCACTTTTGGCTTCTGGGTAATGTAGTTCTTTTGACTGGCGATAGAGTGTAGGCTTATTGAAAGAAAACTACAAGAAAGCAGCAGCAGCTGAAAGTACTGTTAGCTTCTGGGTAGTGTACTGTTGGCTACTGGGTAGTGTAGTTTTTTTACTTGCCTTACAGTATAGACTTATTGAAAGAAAACTACAAAATGGTGGTGCCTGTCCGAAGTATTTTTTCTTTCATTAACTTTTTATCTCATACCATCCCAATCACTTGAGTAATATTAAAGTTGACAATCATTGAAAAACTGCAAAAGAGAGTGTCCACGAAAGTCGAACTGCGAAGCGAGGGACTACTGTATAGCTATTTCGTAAAACCTTGTAAATGACGTGTACATAATCTCGTTCCACCACATGTACCACATGAGATGCGAATGACAAATAAATCTCTCTGAACCTCTAATGTGTGGCCTCATGAGATGTTTTAGCACTGAGTGTGTTTTGAGGATGACTCAGCTAATTTCACACCAAAGTTTTGCTCAATATCCGTACAATGAGTTATAGCTACTTTTGTGTTGGCAAAGGTTGAATAGCTTTCAGCCATTTTCAACTGGGATGATCGTAAATGTTAATGCATTGTAGATGTTCATTCAGGGATTATTTTTAGATTTTCACTGAATTCTGTCCAGTGTTTCGTGAGATATTTTGCCTTACACAGTTGACACTGACTGTTAATATAAAAACCACTCACATAGTGGTTGGCCCACTATGTGAGTGTGCTGCTTAAAAGACTGAGTTTGTTGTGGCTCCTCGGACTGAAGAAGACTCTTGGATGAGGGATGAAACGTTTCAACACAAAGAAACCGTCCAGAGGACCTGACTGAACTTTGTTGGATTTATTACCTGGATTATTGAGCATGAACTTTGATGTTAGTATCAAAGTTTAAAAAGTATGTGTTGGCAAAGATGTTCAGCCATTAAAAAGCTAAAAATTAGCACATCTATAAACAGACTAAGTTAAAGCCATATTTGTGTTTCCTAAGGTCAGTTAGTTGTAGCAGCCATTTTGATTTGGGTTGACTCCAGAAAATAATCAGATGTATATGTACGCACGTCGTTTACTTTTTGAGAATTTTAGTAAAATGTATCCAGTGGTTCATGAGATATTTTGCTAACAGACACAGTCCGCTCCAGTAGTTAATGGCAAAGTATTTAAAACACATTATATGCCACTTACTGCTTAAAGTATGTGATGGCAATGACTGTCAGCTGCTACCACACCAAACTTTTGTTCTAAATCTGTAAAATTAATTTAGTCATTTAGGCTGACTGGTAACTCTTGATTGTCCCTTGGTATGAGTGAGAGTGTGAATGGTTGTTTGTCTTGTTTGTCTCTATGTGTCTCTGTGATGGACTGGAGACCTGTCCAGGGTGTCCCCCTCCTCTTGCACAGCGATGGCTGGACATGGGCACCAGTGATCCCTGCGACCCATAAAGTCAAAGGGTCCCAGTTACATCCAACAAAAATATAAAATGTAAAAGAAAAACAGTAATAAGATATGAACTAAGAAAAACATTAACTAAAAATACACTAAGCAAGGAAGATACTGGTAAAGATGGATGGATGGATGGATGGATGGATGGATGGATGGATGGATGGATATTTTGGTGTTTGAGAGGGACCCTTAGCTGTGGCAGGTTACTCCCTTCTGATAGTTTGGATAAAACACTTGAGCTACTACAACTCAGCCTGGCCAACACACACACACACACACACACACACACACACACACACACACACACACGCACACACACACACACACACACACACACACAGAGTTTCTGATCTGGATCTAAATGGACACAAATTAGCCTGTTTTGTGTTATTGGGATTAGTGCCATGATTTAGCCTAAATGGTTTGTTTTTGTTCTCCTGCATCGAGGTCATCGAGCACGGGGAAATGTTTGCCAATAAAGTATTGAAGTTTTAAATCGGCTTGTTTACATCTGGAGAGGATGTGGAAGCTCTTTCGGCTGTAGTCTGCCACCAGCTGAACTCAGGATCACACGTTAGCACCGCTTTCAGGCTTCAGACGTTCAGCTTCCTGTAAAACTGTCTGAGCGTCACGTTTTTAAGTGACGTGTGTGAGCGTGTGTGTTTTGTCTGGTTGTGTTAGAGGACTGAGCGTCAATGCAAATGAAAATAAGGCCTTGGTGCTGTGCTCTCGTGCCAACATAATGAAGACAAAAGCCTCGCTCACAGTTCCTACTTCGCATTTTGCCGCTGGTGCTGCTTCCTCTGCACACGTCTGTCTTCAGGCTGTTCATTAATTTGTTACTTTGATCCCAATCAAAACTTTTTCTGAACGTTTTTTCTGTTTGTTTTCATCCACAGACAATCGATCAGCCCACATAGGACCACACCCCTAGTGAGTGACGGGAGAGGAGGGGGCATCTGACCGTCTGTCATCTTGGCGCCGTCACAAGGTGGGCTAACATCCTGTATGGTTGTCATGGTAACAGCCTGCTGGGTTTGGGTTTGTCAGACTCAGTTTCTTGTTGTTGCCACAGTCTTGCAACATCCTCCTGACCTGAGTGCTGAACGGCGCTGTGTGTTTTTCTGAGGCAAATGTTTTATGGAGGTGTCGTTTTATTTATTTATTTATTTTTTAGCATTTGTGTGTGGTTTGATTCGTGGAAGGTGAAATAGTTTGTGCTAGGAGAAAAAAAAAAAAAGAGTGGAGAAGTTGGTGAGAGAGGGAAAACAAAGAGAGTTGTGTTTTTTAGACAGTTGAGAAAATGAGGAGCAGGACGACGGCGAAGAGACAAGAGGGGAAGTCAAATTATTCCTTGTGCTCTACCTGCCACAGGAGCTGAAAAAAGGCATTAATCTTACCCCCACCCCATCCACCCAAACACACCCACCCTCCCAATGTCTGCAGGTGACAACAACAACAACACACACTGAGACATAAATGTGCCCAGGTTTACCAAACCGCACTTTCTCTTTCAGTTCTGTGTCTTCTCACACAAATGGCTCTGCAGACATGCTGCCGTTTCACTGACAGCAGGAGTGATTGTGTGGGGAGTAAAGTCAGTTAGCGGGGTGGGGGGGGGGAGATGGGGGAGGAGGGCATCTGCTTGTGGCAGTGAGAAAGGTGGTCTTGAAAACAGGAGAAACGTTTGACAAAGGTTGAGAAAAGTCCAGGTCCTTCCACAGTGAGTTAATGTAATAGCATAAATGTATTCAGGATGAAACTCGTCCTTTTTATCCTAAATGCCAAAAAAAAAATTTATAAGAATTGTTTTAAAATAAAGTTTAGTAGAAACGTCACATATTTGCTTTTATGGGGGCAGCTGATCTTTATTATTCTAACTTTACTGACAGTAGTTCTGACTTGCTTTAACTTCGTAATCACTGCAGCAAAGACTTCTGGGTAATATAGTTAATTGCTCACCCACTAGACCTTTAACTACGAGTTGATTGAAGACGTGACTAAAGCCATGTTCACACAAGACCTTTGAACTCTGAAACATTTCTGACATTTTTAACGAAGGAGTAAATTCACTCCAGACTTCCTGCAGAATGAAACTGAACAGTTAGACCTCGTTTTCCCAACATTTTCACACGTTTTTGTTTGAACTTTCCTAAAAATTGAGAGTCATTAACATTTAAAGAAAACATTACAGTTAGGTCTGTCACGATAACAAATTTTGCTGGGCGATTAACGGTCTCAGAAATTATTGCGATAAACGACAATATTCTTTGAAATTTGACAATAATTAGTAATTATTGTCAAACTGAATAATAAATGTTGGTTAATTTTTGTGTGTAGTACTTTTTTTGACCACAGGATGGCAGTATAAGACTGTTTGACATGAAGGATGGATAGTGAGGGAGCGAGCAGCGTGTCTCTTTAAGAAAAAATGGGAGGGATGCCCCTTGACGTGACATGGGCTGTCTCTCTTCCTTTTTTTTGTTTCTCAAAATGGCGGACGCTCTGTGTGGTTTGAGCTCTTTAGCATAGCATTTTTCACACAAAGCTTTTAATAGAAAATCAGTAAACAAGTTCTCAGCTTCTTTTTGCAGAGAAAAACAACTTTTGAGACAAAAGCACGGGTTTCATTGGTGAATTTTGGAACTTCGACAAGACGGAGGTTTTTTTCCCGAGGTCGGCCTGTTAGCTTAGCTCGTAGCTTAGCTTCTCAGCTGCTTTTAACGAAACAAAAACATGATTTTAGATGGTTAAAACAGAAAGAGAAAGGGAGGGGTCAGTGAAGAGCACCGGAGTCGAGCCTTTTCTCATCCAGTGTCTTCAGTAGAAAGAGAGAGACACGAAGAAACAATAAAGCCGATAAATGAAAATGAGGTTGATCGTTTTCATTTATAATACGATTAACTGATTTATTGTTTATCGCGACAGGCCTAATTACAGTGGATCTTTATAACTGGGGAAAGGACAATCAGCTAAACTTACTTTAAGGAGTCGATCAGATCTTTTGAAGTTGGGTTCTGGTGATATGTTATGAACAATAGATATCTTACCTGTTGTAGATGTCTCTTCAGACAGCATTGATTTAGAGAAATATTTTAAACTTGACCAGCTTGATGAGTTAATTGCTAGTCCATGCACACACCATTGGGAAGAAACGCTGGGTGCAGGTCCTGAACCTGATGGAGGGATTATAAATCATCTGGAAACACCAGAGAGGTAGAAGTCTGGGCTTCCTTCCTGGAAATGTTTACTCTAGACATGTTCACAAGCACTTTGATCTGATACTTGGATGTCTTCTGGCCATCTTGGTGCAATTTCTGAATGGACCAAAGCTACAACACATCCTTGTGGCTCGGTGGTAATAATGTACAACCTTTAAGACTGGAGTTGTTTTATGGCGGCAGCAAACTATTGGGATATTGGCTCCGCTCAGGCTAGTCGTTAGCTTGTTAATCCAGTCTCAATTAAACCATTTCTCTAAACTGAATTTGTTCAAAGACCTATTTGCAGCAAATGAGATGTTTTTGTTCATGACATTTGCACAGAGCCCTACTTCACAAGATTTGAACTAATGCTATAACATTGAATGAGAGTCAGAATTAGGGTGGGAACAGGTTGGCTCAATGGACTCAATGCAGTGTGAATGCGAATCGCACCAGCTGAAAATATAAACAAATGTTATGAATATTGGTCCCCAATCGACCCGAGTCTACCGGACTATCAGGTGTGAAAACGACCTTAGTAATAAAAAGGAACTTTCTTTTATTTAATTATGGTGATTTGTCATGTTTTGTCTGACGCAGCTGCAGGAGCATCATGGTGTGAGTTGACACGACCAGATCAGAGATGTGTGCCTCAGTTGGGCCAGCAGAGCTTTAAACTACAGCAGGCTGAGAGAGGCGACACCACTCATCCTGAGCACGCTTGTTGCTTTAATTTGTTCGTTTCTTACCTTTCCTCCCTTCTTTTGTCCCCATGAACTTGCCCAGACCCTCCTGCCTTCAGCTGCATCACCTGCAGAAGAAGAGCTGTTCAGACACGTTCACACGTGCACCTTTGATCAGTGAGAGACGCTGCAGTCAGACTTTTTTCACCTTCTAATTTTAGAAGACGTTCTGACGTCTCCCTCAGCTGAACGCTGACTGAAGCTTTAACGTTTTACTGACTTCAGTCTGGGGATTCCCCAGATGTTAATGACTGTTTGGACAGGAACCATCCTCCCTCTGTTTAAGATGAAGCACACCTCAGACTGAGAATCAAGGTGTTTGCTGCTCATTTTTTCCTGCTCGCTCATCGTCTGCCCCCGGTTACACGTTCTTGTTTGTTGCATCCCCCCCCATGTGACTCACTTGGCTGTGGGAGTTTTGTTGTCTCTCCGCTGTTTGCTGTCTTCACCAAACCACATTTGTGCTTTCGCTTTGTAGCTGCTGTGCATCCGTTTTCATTCTGCTTGCAATGAATTTTGTTGGTTTAACTCTCAGGTGATGTGCGATTCATCGTGTTCAGGTTATCAAAACGCAAAAAGATGCATTTTTAGAATTAAACTTGAACAAAAATACCTGGTGCTAAACCAGAATGGTTTGAAGTAACTTTTGAAAATGAGTCACGTCATGAGTAAAAAATAATTTGAATTTAGGGTTCAGAAGATAAATAGCAAACTTTATCTGAGTGGCATCTATAAATCTAGTACTTCCTGAAGAAGTGTGCATTGCCAGAGCTTTGAACTACAGTAGTCTTTCACTACTTTGCAGTTTGTTTGTCGAGGACTAGCTCTATCGCGGTTTTTCAAAATAAGATTGGACATGACACACAGTTGGCTGACTGATGGATGAGCCGCACGTTCAACATGAATGTTTTATTTAAAATAAATTATTTTAAATTATTTAGCACCTGCTGAACCTGTGCAGTCCATACTGCAGCATAAACTTCCTGCTGCAGCTGATCAGCTGTTCTCAGTGCAGAGCAGAGAAGTGGGCGTGGCCAAGAGTAAACGAGGGACAACTGTATTAAGTTTGCACGGAGATGACTGTTACACTTAACTCTCACGTAAATAACTGAGCCAGCATTCACACTACTGTTTACCTATTTACAGTTTTATCAATTCAATATTTTGTAATTATGGTAAACTACTACATACCTTTAACCATTCATACACTATACAAAAGTGTTCTGCTTAATTAGTAGTATTGTACTCTGACTTTTAGTATTTGTAACTTTTATACTTTTTTAAAATATGCATTTCATTCAGGTCCTTCTCAAACATTGTTCTCTGAAATCTGCTTCAGCATACTTGCTCCTTTCTGTCCTTATGCTAGTTTTAGCCTTTAGCTGTTTATTTTATTTTATCTGTGC